TTTTTGTAATTAATTTTTTTACAAAACATGACTAGTTACAAATCGAAGGAATCATGATTATGGTAAAAATCGAAAAAATCGTAAAAAAATTAAATTGGGTATAGAACCTTTATACTTGGCTCAAGAAAACTTCAGGTTATGTAGAATCTTCACACCAAATTTCATCAAAATCGGTTAGATAGATTTTGCATAATTTAGCAATTCAGATTTTGAAAAAAAAATTTGCAAATTTTCAAAATTTTGCACAGCAAAACCCAAGGCCCTTAGATACTTGAAAATTTAATTACATATAGAAGGGCTCCTTCGTTTTCAAACTTTTTTTGAAAAATTCGAATCCGTCAATTAAGAGAGCTCTGGCGCTTGTTTAAACATGGTCGAATTTTTGTACTTCTAAACAATTAGAATAACTTTGTCAATCAAATCAAATTATTTACAGCAGGTTTTAAAAGTTCTTGGAAAGACGCTTCTTTTAAAAAAAATAAGAAAAATTTACAAATAATTCTTTCCGATGTAGCTACTAAAACGATATTTTTTTAAATGGCAACACCGGAAAAAATTATTTGTAAATTTTTCTTAATCAAGTTATTTCCTACAACTTGCATTAGGAAGTACTAGTCTATTACTTCAAATAAAAAAGTTAAAATTAAAGTATAATAATTCAAATATTTTTTATTATTTAAAATATAACAAAATGAGAAATTAACTCATATTACTAATTTTCGTCATATTTTGAAAATAATTGTTGTTTAAACAATTTTAGAATATTTAAATAAATTTGTTTTTGATCTTTGATAAACAGTATATAAGTTTATGCACTTACTTTTGATACAATAGAAAAATAAAGTTGAAAAGTAAAGGAAGTTTAAAGATAAATAATTATCGGACTGTTGAAAGACCAATAATTATTAACGATAGGCATTTGAAAATACGCTAAAATTAAAAAAAAAATCATCAAAAGCGGACCTTTAGAAGGCGAGATATTAAAAATTTTTAAGCGCATCTCGGTTTTGAACTCGCCGATTCAATTTCGAGCAGGCCGAAGCGGCCGCGCTCTCTGCTTACCCCACCACCACCACCAGTACGATTTTCTTGAATTTCTCGCTTGCATAAATAACTTTTATCCACGACTATTGTATAATGTACCCATTATACATCTGTTTGCTCGACCTTATCAATACCCATTAATCACGGCAGTGATTAATGAGTCATTAATCACTAGTGTCAGATGCTTCCTTGATTTAGCTATAATATTATGTTGTTCTGCTACAATCAATCGGTTTTTAAAATTTTATCGTGTAAACCACTATATTTTCAATTCATATAAAAAAAAATTTAAAGAAGTGAATTTTCCTAGACCTAAACTAATTTGAGCGAACTAAATATAATATATACGAATGAAATTTATATAACACATATTAGCTTGCATATATTTTTTGTGTTTAATGCACGGCTATTAACTTTTTATTTGAATAAAAGTGTCTATTTATTCATTAAGAGCTTGTAAAATTATGGATGAAATCTGGCAACATTGCCATGGCGTGGTGGTAAAAGTTGGGTCAACTGTCATTAGTGTCAACTTTGCACGTATTCCATAAACATGAATGAACAACCAAGGTACAAAGGAAAAGTAATGACAAAAGTAATATAAAATGAGTGTAAAACAGAATGTGGATTGATGAGAAAAAAGTAAAATGTGCAAACCGAGAATCCGTATGATAACTATCAAGAAGTTCAGTGTATGATAGTGAGATGTCGCCTTGTCAAATCGAAGATTATGACAGAACATCTATACTGTCAGTTTTGTAAAAAGATGCTTTCAATATCTGTTTCAAATTGCTAGTATATTGCATTAGATCACGAAAAATGTATTTAATATTCATTATTACTACATATGTTTTTGACTGGAATAATTTTATAGTCTATAATAGAGCTATTCAAATATAGCGCATCAGTCGAAGCGTTAAATACAGTGGACAGTGTTGCCGTATTTCCTTTCATTGGATCAGATGTTTGATCAAATTTGTCAAAACGTTATATATTCATTCCATTATCTCAATAATTACATTGTAAGTGCATATTTTTATTGTTTTAAAATGTTTAGTAATATTTAATTCTTTAATTACAATGTTATTTTCCCGATCCTAACCATTTTTAAGAGCAATATTCACGTTCGATTAAAGTTTTTTCCCCAACTCCCATAAGAGCCTGTGTATAAGAGCATAATTTTTAATACCATTTTTTAAAAAAAACTACATTGGCAATCGATCTGATATTTTTACACGAGGCAGTTTACATATTTATTAACAGATTTCAATTGCTTTGAAAACTTTCTTACCATTTTTTTTTCGGTATCGAACCTCCTTAACATACCATGTTTTTCGAAACATTTCATAAATCTAAGTAGCTTTTAAAATAAAACAAATTTGACTCAAACCTGTCAACATTATTGTTTGTGTGCATAGATTTCTCAGTGTTTTGATATTTTGTGTTAAATTTTGTTAAAAAACCAACTAAAAACAAAAAAAAACTTCAACAAAAATATTTAGTAGTCGTGGATAAAGTATAGTATTCTACTCCCGTATAATGACTATTATCCACTCGGTGATTTAGGCCACTCGCCTGCGGCTCGTGGCCGTAAACTTCACCTCGTGAATAATATCCATCATTATACGCTCGTTGAATATTATACTATAAACACGTTTTAAAGTAGGTTGCCAATGAAGAAAAGTATTGTAATCTTAGACCTGGTAAGTACTCGGAATACCAAAGGTATTTTTCGAAAAATTAGTCCGGATGTCCCAGTACATTTAGTGTAAATGATGGTTAACTTGGTTTAAATAATTTGATTGAATATTCACAAAGTTATTCTAATTGTTTATAAGTACAAAAATTCGATCAATGTTTAAACAAGCGCCAGAGTTCTCCTAATTGACGGATTCAAATTTTTCAAAAAAAGTTTGAAAGCTTGAGAGCCCTTCTATATGTGATTAAATTTTCAAGTATCTAAGGGTCTTGGTTTTTGCTGTGCAAAATTTTGAAAATTTGCAGTTTTTTTCAAAATCTGGATTGCAAAATTATTATGCAAAACCTATCGAACCGATTCAGATGAAATTTGGTGTGAAGATTCTACATAACATGAAGTTTTCTTGAACCAAGTATAAACGTCCTATACCCAATTTAAATACATACCCCAAAAAAATTCCCTAAAAAGTATTGTATTTTAACCCCATTTTTGCGATTTTTACCATAATAATAATGATTCATTTGGTTTGTAACTAGTCTTGTTTTGTAAAAAATTTAATTACAAACATTTTTTTCCTCTTCCATTTTCGCCTAAAATCAACTCTTGAAAAGATACATAATTAAATAGGAAGAAAAATATGACATTTTTCGAATTTTTTTAACATATTGTGCCGCCACGTTTTTTTTATGCGCATAGAAAAATTTTCATTTCTAGTGATATTTGAAAGCCAAAAAGCCAAAAATCTCCGTGGATATACGATTCACCCAAACCAAAACAGAAACCGCCTAGTCTAATTGCATATTATGGTGGAATAGCTTAACAATTTTTGAAACATTGTGAAAAAGATTTATCAACAATTCTTGAGTGAGGGTAATTTCTACTACATACTTAGATAGGGCATAAGTGAATACAACTCTAGGTGGTTTTTGCAGTTAAGATTTTCAAATATTTAAATAGTTTTTTTTGTGTTTTCTTAATGTACAATACATATTTCAAGAATATTCTGTGAAAATTTCAAGGCGATTCCATAAACGGTTTTAAAGATATCCTACAATAACTGTAGGAACCTTTTACAGTGGATCTCAGATAGCGGACAGCAACATCACGGACCAGTGTGAAAACGAAAACATTCGAGAAGGTAAAATGACACTTAGACACAATTCGACATTTTGGAAGCTTACACATTGGCAAAAGGACTATTATATGGCCCAAAAGTTTTAATCATTTGTAAAACTATTTGCAAAAAAATCCTAGCGGCCCCTTTTACGAAATTTGAAAAAAAAAAAAAAATAAGTACTGATCCCACCATAAAGTACTTTTGTAAGAGAAGGGTCCACAATCAAGCTGATAAATTTTCATGAAAGTTACTTAAAATATAGTGTAAGACCTTGGTATTATGTACTAAATAAAAAACACTATACAACAGTTCATGAAAAATTCTTGAAAATGTCTAAAAAAAAATCATTTAATATTTTTTAAGCAAGGGGAGCTTCTATTCATCAGATGGGGCGGAACTAAATTGCATCTGGCGCCATTTCTTAACTGTTTCTGGAACTGCATTAAGAAATATTTAAAATTTTTCATTTGGGGCTGGTATTGACGCCTCAGGAGAGGCGCAGGTGATTGCCGGTTAGGTATTTACATGTATGTCTCCAGGAATTACAATTTACCTGGTGAAATGGAATGAAAAAGAAAGTCCAATTGGCTGTTAACTTCACATAAAAACAAACTGGCCACTGAATACTCTTTTGGCTGCCAAAAACTGACTGCTAAGTTCACACTGGTTATTTCAGAACCTATAGATTTAAGAAATTAGTTTCAGAAAAACACATTTCTCGTATTTTGTAAAAGTTTGTAAAATATTTAGCAACACTTCGCGATCTCTTCCGTGACCCCCTGTAGGGGAACCACTGGACTAGAATATCCTAAAAATTACTACATTTTGCACTGCATATTAAATTTTAATGATGTCACAACACATTTCATTTTAAGTACTTTACCCCACTACTGTAATGCTAATTTTGGTTTTCTCCTATTAATTAAACCAATATCTTAGATTTCATTCACTAAGGTTACAAGCATTAACTTGTTTTTACTAGTATTAAAAAATAGCACTTTATATTAAACTATTTAAAAATAGACGATATACATCAACATTTGCTCTGTTGCACTACTTTGTACAAACTGGCCTTAATCAGTTAGACAGTTAATTAATAGTTTTTAATAATTACAGATAAAATCAATTGGAAATTCTTACCACCCACGGATTTTTTGATCCGTTTGGACATATATCGACCTCGAATTCAAAGGGACCTGGATATTCTTCGTTTGACAAGATGTTGGAAATAATTGGGGGTATAGAATGTTCGTTTGCAGGCACCACTATAACTATCTTATCCTTATATTCTTTTTCCTCATTAAAATCGTTTTCACCCTACAATTAACAGAATGATATTAAGCTAACAAGAATGTATATAAATTTTGTACTTACTTTTTCATAATAAAGTACCATTATAGAAAAAATAAATATTTAAAAGCACTTATTTAATCTACTGTTATAAAATGACTGACATAAATGCATTTGCAGTAGGTAACTGTTTAATCTGTCTACAGGTCACAGCATGTAATAAAATGAAATGAGTAATCAAGTTGTTTTGATTTTGTTGATCTTTTATATGAGAATTTTCTTAACAGATAATCCACTAAGTACTTTGTATATTTAAATAGTATTAATTTTGCACTTTGAATTTTATCAAACACTTTTAAAGGATTCAAGATATGAAAAAAGGGAAAAAAATTAATATTTTTTGGAATATATCCTCTCAAAAAATGTCAAATATTAAGACCCAGTGTTTATAAGAAGTTAAATGTAGAAGAGGTGTATAAAAATTCGGTAAATATTACCAAAATATACATGGAACTGTGTATATACTTACATTTATATTTGAATTATTACTCAATATATGAACCATCTCATTCCTAAAAAAAAGTTATTGAGTATCTATCATAAATTAGATAAATTTTATTTTTTACTTACACATCAGGGATGTCCGATATTTCTCGCAATATTTCATCCTGTTCTTCTTGAGACAGTATATCAGATGGAAATGACATGACTTCTGATTCGCATTTGTTCATGTTTCTAAATTTTAAATAATTTTAAAAATGTATAATATTCTGTTTTTTATATAAAAAATAGATAATAATAAATATATAGTAAAATGAAGTTAGGGATATTGATTATAATTGATAGTGTAATATGGTAGGAACATATCTTTTCCCACAATCATTTATACAGGGTACTTATTAAATTATTATGATTTCGCCAAATTGGCAGTTCAAAAATTTATATTAAAAGAGACACATACCTAGTGTTAAAGAAAAAAATTTTTTATGATCTAAAATGAATATATTGTTTAAATTTCGTCTTTTATTTAAAAGCTGTGGTCAAAGTTCAATGGATATATGTAGGTATTCATGAAAGTTGCATATANCTACAAAATGCGAAAAAACGGTGGGCAAATTTATAATCCTCATCCCGAAAAACCCCCATATACGAAATTTCGTCAAAATATTATGAGTGTGGCAAAAGGTATTGCAAAAAAACTGCAAATAAAATTTAACTTTAACACCCTGTAACTCCGTTAATAATCAGTTTTGGAAAAAATGTTATAGAAAGAGGTACCATTTATTTTCGGTCTAGAATTATCCCCTGACTTTTTTGCTCATCATTTCCGGACACCCTGTATGTATATTATGTTTACTTTGTGGTTTTCATGAATCTATTTTAAAATTATTATTTTTAAATAGGAATTACATAAAATAAATTGTATTGAATTATAAGACCCTTATAATATAAGTAAGAGTAAAAATGAATGATAAAATATTTACTAGTTTAATATATTTTTTTGACATTAAAGCTAAATAGTTTCTTCTAAATTTAAATAACATTAGACAAATTACTTTGACACCTTATATAATATTCACTGAAAAGTACTTACAAATTATTTCTATATTAATGAGATATTTATAATTAGGTAATAAATTGTATACCTTGATATTTAAAATTTATTTTTTTTAATTCAACTTCCAAAATTATACTAATTTTTTATAAGTAGATAACCAATTATGAATGATCTCTAAAAGAAATTAAAAACAATTTTAATGTAATTGTAATGTATGGTTTTACTGTAGCAATGAAGAAGAATAAGAAATGAGAGGAACAAGTGATAAAATTTGTTAAATATTTTATCACTGACTGCCATCATAATAAAACTTGGAAATAATTCTGAACTTGAATATCGAGGGCGTCATATTAGAAGGGCGTAAGAGCCACTATAGTCGGTTTTGGGTTTTTAGGGCGTATGACCTCATTTAATCAATTCACTTAATATATCAGAAGGGCATATATATTCATAAATATCAACACTCTATTCTAACGCATTTTACATTATTCTAACGCATTTATGAACCAATTTTGCAATACTCTATCAGATAGGCGTATGCCTGTAAAATTTCAGATTTGGTTTGTATGCCCTTCTGATATGACACCCTCGATATGTATTAAATAGATTTGAGATGAAATAAATTTTTTAAAAACAAATATTTGACATAATTCCAGCGTACAGGCTTTCTCTTTTTTTTGCAACCTTCAATGGAGTTTTTCCCTAACTGCTTGAGAATTCAACCCACACTGCAACTTTGCAATTACTGATGGAAAGAAAATATCCGAGAATAGCGAGTACTTTTAAGAATCAGATACTACTAGATTTTTCACTGGAATTCTCCCATCACTATCTGTAATTATTTATTAAAAATATATTGAATTAAAAATTTAAATATGTTCTTGAAGTAATAATAAGAAGAAAAATTATCATTGACAATTTAAACGTTTAAAAAATATTTTTGATGCAAAATAAAAGTTATAGATCCTATTTGATATCTATTTTATTTTTAGATCTTTATTTTCTTTGCTCCTTTCCCAGTTGGTCCCGGGTAATATAGTGGTGTGAAAATACTATGGTGTGTCTATGTGCATGTGGTGCAGTCACTTGAGTACCAACAATACTCTCAAAATTACAGTATATGTATATTGGTATGCAACTTTCTGCTGTGTTTCTAATAATCCAGAGTTGTTGGCGGCTAAATATCATAACATTCATTTTATTATGCAAGACAGATAACGTTTCTTTAAACTTGACACTTAAAATTTAAGGTTATGTTCACGTTTAGATTCTACTTCTACATACTTAAATTACTTTTTAAACACAATTCATAAATGTAAGTGTGAAAATATCAGGTTTCAATTTAAATTGGCTGTTATGTAACATGTAGTTACCACAGTGTCAATAAAGTACTTTGACATACGAACTGGTCCCAGGTAGGGTTACCACATCTCTGGGCTTGACTCGGAGTTTTCGGGTTTTATCTTCGGGCTCCAGATTAACATGTTATTTCTCCAGGTGTGTTTTCTTTGTTAAGGGAAAATTGTGATTTTCAAAATATTTATTATTAAATAACTACTGCGGCAAACTTTTTTCCATAAGATGATTTCAACCATGTACTTACCATGTTAAATGTACCGCTAGCGCTAGACACGTGCAAAGACACAATGACGATACAGTGGTAAACAAATCTGAGAGTATATATTCGTATATGTACATATGTATACATTTATTAAAATTTAATGAAATAGGTCTGGTAACCCTAGTCACATGTAGAGCCACACCATACTATTTTCACACCGCGGGCAACATTTAATTCAACTTGAAATAACAGTATCTAATTTATTTTTGCCTTTATCCTCAGGGAAAATAGATATAATGATTATGAATATAAAGACAAATAATTTGAGCAATGAGTGAACTTTAATATTTTAAATTCAAATTCAATTTAAAATATTTCCAACATAAAAATAAATACAAACTCGTGCATTTGAAAATTAATCATACATATAATCAATCGCTATATTTTTTAAATGGCTGATATTTTTAGATAACGTAAGTAATCAAACAAGATTACTTTGGTGCTCAATACATCTTTTAATTTCTATCATATTTTTTAATTACACAAAAATTAACGTTTTGAAAATATCGGAAAATATTTCTTTTTCTATGTTTACTGCCATATTGGGGACTAATAACAAAAAATTGTTTATTATTCTAACTTATTTAATGAAGGATATCTAGGTACATTGTGATCTTGTTTATGGCTATATATACATACAAATATGTAAGATACTTTTTTAAAATTCTTTAAATAAATATTTTAAACGAATCTGTATAGATTAAGCGGCTAGTAAGCGTTTTAGTAATTCCATACATAACATAACCTCAAAGATTAAGAATGTTCTCTACAATATAAATACGAACGTAATGCATTTACCAATTAGTGTCCTTTTAAACATTCACTTCAAGAATATATCAATATTCGTAACTATTGCTGAATAATTTAAAAAAACAACATGCAAAAATAATTAAACCAGCCGAAAACCACCATCCATACCCCGCCACAGAAATCACAACACAAATATTTAACAGATTAGCACTTTGACTTTCAGTTTTCAGCAGCGTTGCCACTGTTGCCAGATGCTCAAGGCCCACAATGAAATAATTATAACTATTATGGTATGGCAAATTTAAAATTATGGTATTTATTATATTAGCATTATTAGTATTTATTTATTAGTTAGTAGCGAAAACAGTGGTGTAAATAGGTATCAATAAATAACACTTATTTTCAAATTCAAATTTGTATAATTTACATAAAAGAGGCAAACAAATTTTACAGTTAACAAAATAACTTCTTTTTAATACCTAATAAGTAGTTTTAAAATATAAAAATAACACGTCGTCGTAGCTTGCGTAAATGCCAAATTTATTTAATATATCAGAATGGTTTTTGGAAATCATACATCCATTTAATTTCTACTTCAAAAGAAAATATATATATATTTACTAGCCAAAGTTAAATAACATTTTTTTTTATATTAATTTCAATAATAAATCTTATTAGAGCTTCGCTCATGCAACTCCCTCCGTACGCTAGCAGAAAAAGTATATCCCTAACCTCCCCCTCCCGTCTTCCTTAACGATTAGAGAGAGAGGAGCGAGTACCCAAACCAGTGTTGTTCCTGTCGGTACAAATGTACTGAAATCAGTACAATTAACCATTTTGCAGTACATCAGTACACTGATAGTGATTTTCAGTGCCGGATTGGCTGCTTAATTTTTAAAATGTTAATAAATATGAATGACGTCACGCAATTGTTTTATTGGTTAGCATAATTTTCAGTCTTGCCACGTTTAAAAAAATCGTTTTTGTAATTTAATGTAAACATTTTATGTAATATATAGTTTAATTATTCTCAGTTGCAATTTCTTTTATATTTTGATAAAAATATGACATTTATTTGTTCATAATATGAAGTGTATTGTTTAAATTCCTGCCGCTACTATACCATTTTGTAGATTTGTACAATGTATTTTGTACAACAGATATTAAAAAGTTATAGTCATTATTGTGTTCCTTTTTACATAGGAACCTGATTCGACGTTTTATAAGTTCACATACTATTCAAGTATTGCCTTTTTAAAATTTTGAATTTCCCGCGTCAGTACAATTTAGTTTCAAATCAGTACATTGGTATCACTGATTTCAGTACATTGAAATATATCCCAGGAACACGCCATTATTCCATGGCTAGAAATTGGCCTCAATGATTTGGGATCGAGGGGGATTATCCCTCTTTATCCTGCCTCATCTCGTGTAGGCCTGGACAGCCTTCGTAGGTGGGCCCCATCCGTCGTCTACCCCGACCGCAAATGCGGCCGGTGTAGGCGCTTTGTGGGACCTCCTTTTGTCCTGGCTGGGCCCCGCCGGCTAGGGCCCTTTCTTCTGGCGCTCTTCTTGCTTCGCCGGCTCGTCTGTGTAAACCCCGGGGGTGGTGTCATGTTTATGGTTGGGTAGGGTGGTGCGGCTATGCAGCCTGGGATGCGCTTTGCTAAGGTGGCCCTTAGGCTAGCGCGGGAAAGGAGGGGTAAGAAGGGTATGTGTGTGTGTGTATGTGTGTGTGTGTGTCGTTGTCTTCGTTTCTTGATCCTGGCTGTCTCTGAAACAGAAAAGGTTAGCGGGCAGGGGGGGGATGTCGTTGGGGTGGTCACCCAGGGTCAAAAAGTTGGTGTCTAGGTCTTTTGTGTTTGTCGGTCACGTCGGGTACGTAGTCAACGGCTTGCCTGAGGAGGGGATTGTCATGTCTAGCGGCTACGTCAAACCGTTTCTCCGCGTTTTGTCTTATTGTCTGTGTAGCGTTTGTGTATTGTAAGCCTCGTAAAATGTCAGAGTTTCTTACGTACCAGGGCGCGTCGGTGGCCGTGCGGAGGGCTATGTTTTCCACAGCCTGTAATGACTTTAAGTGGCTTTTTGCCGCGTGACCCCACGCCGTGGAGGCGTAGGTTAGCTGCGGTTGAAGTACCACCTTGATAAGCGTTCGCTTATTCCTTAAACTGAGGGTGTTTCCACCTTTGAGTAAGGGATAGAGCCTAGCCCTGGTGGTCTTCGCTCGCGCCACCGTCTCCACGATGTGCGGTTTCCACGTGAGACGCTGGTCCATCGTCACGCCCAGGTATCGTGTTTGTCGATTCCAGGAGATGGGTTCCTGGGATAGTGTCAGTCTGTCCAGGTTTTGTGGGATTTTTCGTTTGGTAAAAAGGATAGCCGAACTTTTGTTGGGATTAATTTTTACTTTCCACCTGTTGTACCAGGTTTCAAGTTGGTCGAAGGAGTTTTGGAGGAGGGAGACGGAATATCTAGGATCTGCAGATTGGGATGTGATTGTCAGGTCGTCGGCGTATAAGTATATGTTGGTGTTGGGGGGATGTGGGATGTCGGAGTTGTAAATGGTATATAGGTGTGGGTACAGGACGGTGCCCTGGGGGACACCGGCCTCCATGGGACGGGTGGTGGAAAGGGAATCTTGGATTTGGATGCGGAATTTTCGGTGGTGTAGGTAGGATTTTATGAGTTTGGTAAAGGATATGGGATATTGGTTGGTGAGCATTTTCATCAGTAGGCCTTCATGCCAAACCGTATCGAAGGCCTTTGCGACGTCCAGGAAGACAGCACCAGTGTACTGTCCCCTGTTGAAGGCCGCCGTGATGTGCTCGGTAAGGCGAAGGATTTGGAGTTCAGTGGAGTGATTGGGTCGGAAGGCGAACTGCTCGTCTGGAATGACTTGCAGTTCTTGGGAGTGGGTTCTTAGACGGGTTAGGATAATTTTTTCTACCACTTTGCTCATAGCCGGGAGCAGGCTAATGGGCCGGTAGATGGATGGAATGGTGTGATCTTTGTTGGGTTTTGGGATAAGGATTACGTTTGCTGTTTTCCAGCGGGTTGGGAAGTGTCTTAGTCTGAGTGTCGCGTTTGTTATGTTTAGTAGGGCCATGAGGCCCTTGTGTGGTAGTCGTTTGAGTGTCGTGTTATGTATATTATCGGGTTCGGGGGCTTTTCTGTTTTTAAGTCTGCGTATTGTCAGTCTTAGTTCGTCAGGAGTTGCGGGGGGGATTATGTCATTGTCTGGCTCTCTGTCGACGCGTCGGGCCGCGCGCTCAGCCAC